AGGCAGAGACCTCTATAGACCAGCCAGTCCCACCCTGCCCAATTCTGATCTCACACTGGTCTGACCCAACCCTGCCTGTATTTGACACAGGACACATTAGTAAAGCTTTGGGGATAGGGCCACGCCTAACTTGTGAGGTCAAGTCAAGGAGGAAATAATCTGCTTCCTCTCCTCACTTGCAACTCCCAGAGTACCCCTGTTGCAGCTGACTTAGACTAAACCAAGACCAGTCAAAGGGGAAGTCAGGTTTCTGGCTCTGTGACTGAGGGGTAGGAGAAGGGAAGTGTACTGCTTTGCATCTGAAGTCAGAGGTAGAGAAAGTTTCCCTTAAAGGCAGATTTACCCTGAAGCCTCAGAACGCACTCATGTACTGGCTTCAGAGGCTTTCTTTTTCTTAAACTGTATGAGCTTCAGGACCCATACAGCCTGGGTTTCCCCAGGTTCCCAGAAAGTATGAGGGGCTAAAATGACTTCCTTACACAAGTTAGGTCTGGTTACTGCTCTCAGAGCCCTGTGGGACACAGACCTGCCTTCGGGGCCCCCACTTAATTGGAGAGCAGACAGTTCATAGACAGAAAAGTAAGGAACACTGTCCATGAGGAAGGGCCATCTTCCTGGGGTTCATCCCACAGGTTTGGGCTGAGCACTTTCTATATAAGATTATTCTAAAATAGAATGTTCACAGGATTTTTTCCCTCTATATGCTCAAGTAATATATGCTTATCACAGACAATTTAGGAAAGATGGTTACTTAGAAAGAAGAAACAAAAATCACACATAATTTCATTACCCTAAAACAAGTATATAGCCAGGATTGATATATTTTTTTTCTTGCGTACTGGGGTTTGAACTCAGGGCCTCATACTTGCTAGGCAGGTGCTCTACCACTTGAGCCACTCTGTCAGCTCAAGTGCCATGAATGTTTATGTAAGAATGGAATTGTCTCTATATGCTACTTCATAAACTTCTGGTCTCTTCTCTCCACTGGCACAAACCTCTTTTTCTTTGATTTCTCAAACCCCACAAACATGGCTGCTATGTGTAATGGTTTTGTTGAAGGCCTAGGGTACACACTCAACAGCAGTCTTTAGGACACTGTGTAGGACACACTTCAGAACTGGCCTACTGCTGATTAAAGAAGCTGAGGTATTCCATCGACCAACTCCTGCCTCTCCTTGGTGAGAATGCCTGCAGGTGTTAATTCCCCTGCTTCTCAACAACAAAGACCAGAAAATGCCATACCCTCTAGCAGGGAAACACCGGTGCTTGAAGTAGGAAGCCAGGAAGCCTTGTGTGTACAGGGAACTGTCCACTGATGCCACAGTAATTTGAATGAGGAAGGGGGTAGTGCAAGAGTAACATCTACTACAGCTGCCCACGTTTAAAAATCAATAGATTGCTTACAAAAAGCTGGCCTTCTCATAAAAATACCAGAAAATCTGGGTTTGTATTCCTACATGGGATGGCAAGCTGCCACCCCCATCAGAGGGGCAGTTGCTCTTTAGTGTGCCATAGTCCCCACCACTCTGTAATGTCTCTTGCTCAAGTTATTGTTTGGTTTTAACACCCAGCCCCTCCCCCAGGCTGCTATCAGCCTGGTCCCTCCATAAAGGGGCCTGAATTGGCTACCCTTTGAGGAGGATGCTAACATAGGCCAAGTAGCCTTCAGAACTGGCATTTGATTTCCTGGGACAAAAATCTTTAAATATAAAGCTGTAACAGGAACCTGGAGGCCTCTCTTGACAGCTTGCCCAGTTCTCATTATGACATTTAGCCTGTGATTGATATTGTGTGTGTCATGGAGACCTTGGCAGTTAATCTCTGGGTCGAATCTATGGAAACCAAACAGAAGAGATTTGTCTTCCCTTTCCATTTTGGCTGTGATCTGGAAAACAGACTCTTGGCCTCTCTGAGAAGGAGAGACTTGGGAGCCACGCAGAGGGATGCACACAAGCTGCCTTCAGGATTTGGAAAGATTACAGGTCTGTGGTTTCTGGACGGCTCCACACTTTGTTCTCTTCCCCATCAAATCTGCATGCTGGAGGATAATAGATCCCAGAGCCCCTCTGCCTGCCAAGCAGCTCTGAGCAGACCGCACCACTTCCTCTTCTGTCTGGAAATCCAGCCGAGGCTTCAGCGCAGAGGTGGGGCTGGGGATGGCTCCCTCCGCAGCATAATGAGGGGGAATGGGTAAGGTCAGCTTCAGTGATCAAAGGAGACAGACAGAGCTTCCCAGTGGAATTAGCTCCAACGTCTCCCTAAAATTGCCTCTTCTGAACCTCCTTTAGTGGCAGGCAGGGCACAAAAGATCCTAAGCCACAATATTTAGGTAGATGGTGCCCAGTTTCTACTCACTGTGAAACAAGAGTGGGTACCTTGAGTATCAGGCCTTCCTGAAAATAAGCACCTGGGCCTGATGCAAGCAAAGTTGAAACTATGCACTTAGGAGACTAAGGGATCTGTACTGGTTCCTGCAAGATAAGCTTCAGCCACCCTGTGAAATAATTTCTCTCCCTTATCTGGAAACAACAGCAGGTAGGTCCCACTGCCAAGATCCAAGCATCTACTGGAGGAGGCACACGCCATCCTGTGTCCTGCACTTCTCTCCCCTGCACTCAGCCTCCAGATCAGCCGGAGTCTCAGTCCTGCTTCAGCTGCTCTAGCTAAGTCCCTCAGCAAGGCTTCAGAGGCCTTTATCACTCATTTCCCCTGCAATCATTCATTCAGTTATTCCTCTGTCCATCCATTCACTAAGCCATTCCCTCATTCAGCAAATATTTCCTGAACATCTCCTACACTCCAGACACTGAGGCTCCAAGATAAACAATACTAAGTAGCCCCTGAGTAGGGTGGTCCAGTCTGTTCTCCTCCCAGGCCAGTGTCTACATTTGGGGCCACTCATATGGCCCCACCTGAAGATGGAAGGAACCTTGGGCACCCTTATTATCTGTCTCTTGACTCAGCAGCTTCTAGACAATTTAGCTATATCTTGGGCAATTATTATTAACTTGTAGTGAGCCCCTCCCTCTGTCCCATGGGCAGACCAGGAATTTGTATTTTAGGAGGTGGTCTTTACACCACAGTTTGAGAGACTCCAAAGTGTGGTGCTTTGCATTGCCCCACCCCAGAAAACAGGATGTTGTAAGGAGGAAGTCACAAATCCTGGCTTTCCGCAGACACACACTGCTGACATGTGATCCTTTAATCTATCTACTATGGACTTGAGAGAATCAAATTTCCTAAAGCAGTGGTTTCTTTTTAAGTTTTTCTTTTTTTGTTTTATTTTTGTTAAGAGTTAGGACTCTCACTATGTTGCCCCAGCAGGCTCCAAAATCCTAGGTTCAAATGATCCTCCTGCCTCAGCCTCCCTGAGTAGCTGGGAATACAGGTGGGCCCCATGGTGCAGTTTTTTGTTGTTGTTTGGTGGGACTGGGCTTTGAACTCAAGGCTTCATGCTTGCATACCTTCAGTCCATTTTGTTCTAGTTATTTTGGAGGTGGGGTCTCTGGAACTATTTGCCCAAGCTGGCCTTGAACTGTAATCCTCCCAATATGTCTCCCAAGTAGCTAGGCATGAGCCACTGGTGCCTGAATACCATGCAGTTTTTAATCAAAGGGAATTCCAAATATACACAAAGAGAAAGAGTACCTCGCAACTATTATCCCACCCCAACCACCAAAGCACATAGCCAGCCCTGTCTCACACACACCTCCAACACAGTACTATTGCATTTTTCCAACTATATTGTTTTTGACACAAATCCCAGACATTATATAATTTCATCTGCAAATATTTCAGTCAGCATGTATTCCTTAAAGATCAGGCCATGAGGTAGAATTTAACTGTTCCCTGAATCTCTTGCAAATTCCCCTTTAGATCCAGACTCTGAGGACTCTGCTAAGACTGAGGTTTGCTTTGGCAAGAGCACTTTCATCATGGCAGTGTGTTTTCCATCAGAAGTTGAGTAATGTCTGCTTTCTCTTCTTACTCTTGCATTATGAGCAATCAGTGCTCAGTGTCTAGGTCCAGTAGCTTATCCATCAGGTGTTGTTAAATGGTGCATTCTTCCTTCTTTATTATCTGGAATACTTTATCAAAGAGAAACTTCCTCTCATCTTCCAGCAGTACAATTTGTTTAAAAAATTAACTTTATCAAAAACTAACATTAACAGAGCACCAGCCTAGCAAGCATGAGGCCCAGAGTTCAAACCCTGTACCACACACCCACACAAAAGGTAACATTAAATGCTAGATCCTTTCTCTTATTTATCCATCTTAAAAAGAAGGAGTGCTGGGCTGGGGGTGTAGCTTAGAGCTTTAGTGTTTGACTAGCATGTGTGAGGCCCTGGGTTCAATCCCCAGTACTGGGGGGAGTGGTTAAGGAAGAGTGGTTCCCTAGCACCTTCCATAGTGAATAATTGTTTTAAGTATCATACTTAAACTGTATTTAAATGTTTAAGTATTTAAGTGTTTAGTGTGTTTCAATCCACTAAAGTTATTATTTATGTTCAAATTGTCCCATTTTTTGGTAAGTATTTTTTAATTTGTATTCTGAGTGGTCTTTGATCTCAGTGGTCTCAGAAGCTACAATGCACACAAACATCCTCAATTTGTAATTTTCCTCATCTGTAAAATAGGGATAACACCTACCTCACAAAACTGTTAAAAAGATTAAATGAGTTTATAATTATAAAGCACTTTGAACAGTGCTTGGAACAAAATAAGTGCTATCAAAGTATAGTTCTCTTCAGAATCTATAAGAGATTTGGTTCTGGGACCCTAGCAGATACCAAAATCCACAGATGCTTGTGTCCCTTATACAAAATGCTGTATTTACATATAGCTAAAGCACATTCTCTCATATACCTTACTTATCTCTAGATGACTTACTCCTAATGCTATGTAAACAGTTGTTATATTCAATTGTTTAGGAAACAATGTCAAGGAAAAATTGTACATGAGCAGATGCAATTTTTGTTTTTGGATTATTTTTCATCTTTAGTTGGTTGAATCCATGATTTGCAACAAGTAGATATGGAGGGCCAACTGTATGTGTCAAATAAATAATGTTCACTCTCCACTGCGCACCTGCACACTTCCCATACTTCCCCCTTCCCTCCAGTCTCAGAGCCCAAGTACAGCTTCCCTTCCCAGGTCATCTGATCATAGATGTACCATCTGCTTAGCTCAGGGAACACATGATGCCTGATTCCACAGGGAATTCCTTTCCTTGGGGACAATGAAACTGTTCTCCCACATTCTATGAGCAGAACCTGACAAGCTCTCTCAATACACATTTCAGCTTTCTAGCTTGGACATCTCTTTGGATCCTGACAAGGTAACACAGCAACAGCCAGCATCCTATCATGACGGCTGTGAACACAACCCAACTGTCCTCACAAGCTGGCTAACCCTCAGGTAGCCACATTCCTTCCACCCCAAAACTTCTGCGCATGGCTGTCCATACTCAGCCCAGACCTAGTCTGGACTTGCTGTGTTCCCTCTCCTCTGGCCATCTACTCCCTTGCAGATATTGAGAGAGCCCCGGGCCTGCAGTGTCAGGGACCTTCTGGGTTTTCTGCTTGGGTTCAAAATGGCCCAAACTATCTTCTACCTTTTGGGGAGGCACTGACTGTTTTGAACACAGAGAACTGATTGGCTAGGTGTTTTGTATTGAAGATCCTGAAAAGAAAAAAAAAATGTTGGAAAGAAATGTCCAGTGCCTAATACCAATGCAAGTCCAGAGAGAAGTTTTCCTCAGTCGGGGTTTAGTGTATCATTCTCCTGTCTGCTATTAATTTGTTCAGAATTATTTTGGCTTTTGTTATTTAGATAAATAAATGCAACATGGCTTTGCCACAGAAGGACTAGAGCCTAAAGGAAAGGTAGAAAGGACCTGGGAAGACTTTCAGGCTCAAAGTCCATTGTGGGTTTGCTGCAATCCACTCAGCCTCCAGCACTTTTGCTCTGAGAACACTGGAGTGTTAGGGAGTGTCATTTAACTACCATCATGGCCTTCTTTGCATCCCTGTGTGGCCTGGGACTTGCAAGGGGGAGCACAGCAGGCTGGGGACATGTCAGCCATGTTTTAAGCTAAGCTTCTTCCCATGTCTTTCCATAATGCCCATTCCCTACCTTGGTGTTCCCTGCTAACCCCCATCCTGACCCTCTTTCATAACCAGCTGCAGAAAGGAAAGAAAATCCCTTGGCCCCAAAATGACATCCGGAGACTCGAAGACAAGCCTCAAGAATGCCTGCCCATGTGCCAAAAGGCTGTCCCTGAAGGCGGAGGAGGAGAAGGAGGAGGACTACTGCACTCCCGGAGCCTTTGAGCTGGAGCGGCTTTTCTGGAAAGGCAGTCCCCAGTACACCCACGTCAACGAGGTCTGGCCCAGGCTCCACATCGGTGATGAGTAAGTGCCAGGCCCAGCCTCACTCTGGCCTCCATTCCAGGTCACTCCGTGCCTCCTCCCTGCACCAAAGCCAAAGTTAGAGCTTTGGCTTTTAGGTTGGTTGCTCTATGAGAACTCTATTAGCTAGGGTTGGGCTTATCTTCATTTTATACAAAACCCAGAAAAGGGCATAAAATAGAGGTTTATTTCTCCCTTGCATGTAAATCCAAAGCTGGGACAGACATGGCGTCTGCAGGGTCATCAGAATCTTGAACCCCTGTACTCTGCCCCACCTTCCTGAAGGCTTGGCTTCCCTCCTCAAGGTTGCTTCAGGGTCCTACATTGCTCATAGGGCTCCAGCCATCAACTGGAAGATCCCGACAGCAGGAAGGTAGAGGGAAAGGAAGACAAAAAGGGCAGTTTTCCAAAGGAAGGTCCCACCCAAGACTTCCCCTGCCCCTAGCTGCAAGAGAGGATAGGGAACATAGTCTTTATTTTAGGTGGGTATAACAACAGCAAGAATAAAAATCAATTCTCAGGTTGATGGCACAGACCTATGTTCTAGAAAGATGGTAAGCCTAAGTAGAGGTTGCCGTCCCCTTTTCTAGGTTTTAATAACCACCATTCCCCCACTAAACAAACAACTGAGAAATGCCTACTGTAAACATTAACAACAACAACAATAGCAGCTATCATTTATAGAACACCATGCCAGGCACTGTGCTAAGTATTCTGCATGTGTGACCTCATTTTATTCTCATGATAACCGAATCAAAAAGATTATTTCATTACTCCCATTTTATTTTATTTTTTTTTAAATGTATTTATTTGTTTTAGTTTTGGTGATACTGGAGTTTGAACTCAGGGCCTCATACGTGCTAGGCAAACACTCTACCACTTGAGCCACACCTCTAGCCCTTCATTACTCCCATTTTAAAGGAAAGGAAACTGAGGCACAAAGTTGGTTAGTAAGTGCTCCAAGGCCCCAAAGTTTTATGGCAGAGAACTAGGGTTCAAGTACAGTTCTGCCCAACCCAGAAGCTTTGGTCATAGCTACTGCTCCAAGTCCTTTCTCTGTCCTCCAGAACTCCAGCTCATGTTCTACCTCTCCACAGAGAAGATGGGGCAGGACCCCTCTGTGTGATCTTAATACATGTCTTACTGCTTAAAACCTAGAGATTGTCTAACCATGGAAATCACCCAAGGGCAACATCCCTTATCTTATTTTTCTTCCTTATTTTTTTAGATGTGAGAAGTTATAAAAATTACGTCTTTTTATACTAAATTAAAATAGAGGGTTGTAAAAACAAACTGCATCATCTCCCTTTGCTCCTCTTAATGCTACCACTAACTAGTATTAAGTTTATGTGCCTACTTCTACTTTATGCATGTTTATTGCAAACAAAAGAAAACATTCACACAAAGGGTTTCAATTTCTTTTTTTTCTTTTTTTTTTTTTTTTTTTTGCAGTTCTGGGGCTTGAACTCAGGGTCTACACCTTGAGCCACTCTACCAGCCCTTTTTTGTGATGGGTTTTTTGCGATAGGGTCTCATGAACTGTTTGCCCGGGTTGGCTTCGAACAGTGATCCTCCTGATCTCTGCCTCCTGAGTAGCTAGGATTACAGATGTGAGTCAATGGCGTTTGGCTAAACAATTTTTAAAGGAGTCATAGTATGCATAGTATTCCATATTTTCAATATTCCATAGAATAACCATGCTACTATTTATTCAATCATTTCCCTGTTGAGAACATTAGGGGAACTTAGGTGAGGGCTATCCAGGAACTCTCTGTATGTTTTCCTCTTTTGCTTTCAGCTTTATTGGGATATAATTCATGTACCATAAAATTCATCCTTCTAAAGCATACAATTCAGTGGTTTTATTACATACAGAGTTGGGTAACCATCACCAGTATCTAATTTCAGAACATTTTTATCACCTCAAGAAGAAACCCAGAATCCATTGAGCAGTCAGTCCTCTTTCCCTACCTTCCTTCAACTCCCACAACTACCAATCTACTTTCTGTTTTCATACATTCACCTATTTACATTTCATATGCATGGAATCATGCAATCTGTGACCTTTCATGACTGACTTTCTTTCCTTTGCATGCTGCTCAAGGCTCATCCAAGTAATAGTATGTATCAATATCTTATTCCTTTTTATTACCAAACAATCTCTACTATTTTTGCAAATTTTCTGTTTTTTAGGGGTTTTTTAGTTTTTGGTCCAAAATACCACTTTAAGAAATGTAATTCACAGGAATAAGAGTACCAATACAAAGGGCAAATATGCATAATGTCTATTATAACAATGACAGCAAAAACAAAGAAGTGGAGCTGGGGATGTAGCTTAGTGGTAGAGTAACTGCCTGCCATGCAGGAGGCCCTGAGTTTGACCCCTAGCATTGAAAAATAAGGGCAGAGGAGGGAGACATGAATCTCTTATCTTCAAATAATAATGTAAATATGTTTTCCTTTTATAAAAGTAAAGTATGCTCATTGTATGAATGGGAAAGTATTAATTCCCTATTTATAATAGGGTAATAAAAGAAACTTCTATGTCTTAAATGGGATGATATATGTAGAACAGTGCACTGCCTGGTACCTGGTGAGCACTCAGTAAAAGTTAGCTATAATAATAAAGTAGTGATCAGTGTAAGGGAGAAAACTCTCCAGTCTCCCAGGCTACTCTGATTAATATTTTAGACTTTTGTGTATTAATCTGGGTTGGGTAATTTGTTTCTATATAGTTGTAACTATACTGATTATTCATTTTATCTTATTTTTCACATAGTATCATTTGTAAACACTTGCTATTTATTTCCCATACATTTAATTATAACTGATACATAACAATATGGATCATTTATTTAACCACTTCCATATTGTTGACCATATCGGTTATTTCCCTGTTCTCACAAGTATAAACAACATTTCTACCATGTGTAGAATTATTTCCTTAGATCTAATCTAGTAATAGTACAACTAGGGGTGTCAAGACTCACACTGTCTTTGTGTCTTTGTCTATGTTGTTCCTTTTACCTAAAATGTCTTTCCCTGTGCCTAATCTCAGTGTCTGGATTCTATGCATTCTTTGAAGTTCACTCAAGTCATTTCTGCCATGAAGCTAGCTTTCCCTAATCCCCACACTAACAAGTACATTTTTTTTCTCTCTGTATATTATATGCTATGTTTATTTTTCAGATAGCTAATAATAGTAATAAAATAGCTAACTTGCCTTGAGTTCTTACCCATGTGCCATGTGTTAGGCATCCTTGGAGGTGCCACTGTTACTCCCACTTTACAAATGGGCAAACCAAGGCTCAGAGAGTTCAATCAGTAAGCAAGCATTTACTGGGTAGCTTGCTAGGGGATATGGGAGCAGAAAGAGGAACTGAGACTCAGTTGGGATTTGGTGACCAGTCCAAGTTCACACTACCAGTAAGTGATGAGATTTATACTCAAAGCCCAGATCAAAAAAATGTGCTTAGAGAAGAAAACTGTTCTATAGTTGAAGAGAAGTGAAGATATGTGTAGGAGCATAACAGGGAAGTGGAGTGGAAGGAATGTAGGGTTTGACTCTTGGCTCTGACAATTGCCAGTTGATCCTGAACAAGTTATTTTACCACTCTTCCCCATATATGACAGCATTATTGGACCTGTCTCATAGGATGAAGATTCAATGCATTAGACCAATGCTAGAATATGATCAAAGTATATTATACACATATATGGAAATGTCATAATGAAACTCATGATTGCTGGGTACTGATGGCTCACACCTGTAATCCTAGCTACTCAGGAGGTAGAGATTAGGAGGCTCACAGTTTGAAGCCAGTCCAGGCAAACAGTTTGCAAGACCTTACCTTGAAAAAACCCATCACAAAAAAGGGCTGGTGGAGTGGCTCAAGGTGTAGCCCTGAGTTCAAACCCTACTACCGCAAAAATAAATAAATGAAACTCATGATTTTTTAAAATTAATATATGCTAATAAAATGCTAGAGTAGTATCTTGGCACGTAGTGAGTGCTTAGTAAGCATTTGGTATTATTATGTATCTGAGAAAGATCACAGAGGAGTAGACTCCAAGCCTGGTTTTGGAAGACAGGTAGGATTTCAAAGGAAACCCAGACAGAGGGCACAGGATGAGCAAAGCCAGGGAGGTGAGAACAAACAAGTGATTTATCTGGATGAATGCGATAGAAAGTACACTTTCAGGAGGTCTGTGATTAGGCCAAATTCTACCACTGTGCGGCCTGTAGCCTTCCACACCTCAGTAGCTTTCCAGAATAATGGTTTATTTCTCACTCATGTTACAGTCCACAGTGGGCCATCTGCGACTATGTTCCCTGGTCACTGGAGTCAGGGCCCAGGCTCATGAAGCAGCCTCTATCTGGGATATTGGTGGGACATGCAAACCATAACCCTATTCAAAAGTGACACACACCACTTCGTCTACATTCATTGGCCAAACAAGTCAGGAATGGGAAAATATAACCCCCCTCAGGAGGGATGACAGATATTCTTAAGGGATGACAGATATTCTTTAAGTGATAACACAATCTGCCACAGCTGCTTGGTGGCTCTGGGCAAGGCCTTTTGCCTTTCTGAACCTATGTCCTCACCTCTAAAAATAGTTGCTGAGGAGCTTCAAATAAATAAGGAACGTTAAAAGCATTTTCTAAATTATAAAGTAATAGACAAATGGAAATGTATTGTTACTTCATGAAAAATTCAGCAAGGTGGGTCAGGACAACTGTTGAAGTCTAAATGTCAGACAAGGAGGTCACTCAGGAAGCCACTGGGAGCACCTTGGCAGAATGCACATGTTCCTGCTTAGGGGAGAGCCAGACCATGAGGCATGCCTGCTTCCTTGACCTTTGACTATAACCTTGCTTCTTTCAACCAAGAAAATGTCACTGCCCTTCCAATTCAATCCAGCTCTGCCTAATCAAGCCCCAAAACAAACACACATTCATACAGTCCAGGCAGGCTCCATGGTCAGGTGTATGTGACCTA